AACTGGACCATTTCCTTACACCACACACAAAAATAGACTCCAAATGGTTGAAAGACCTAAACATGAGACAGGAGTCCATCAAAATCCTAAAGGAGAACACAGGCAGCAACCTCTTCCACCTCAGCCACAGCAACTTCTTCCTAGAAACATCGCCAAAAGCAAGGGAAGCCAGGGCAAAAATGAACTATTGGGATTTCATCAAGATAAAAAGCTTTGGCACAGCAAAAGAAACAGTCCACAAAACCAAAAGACAACCGACAGAATGGGAGAAAATATTTGCAAATGACATATCAGATAAAGGGCTAGTATCCAAAATCTATAAAGAACTTATCAAACTCAACACCCAAAGAACAAATAATCCAATCAAGAAATGGGCAGAAGACATGAACAGACATTTTTCCAAAGAAGACATCCAAATGGCCAACAGACACATGAAAAAGTGCTCAACATCGCTGGGCATCAGGGAAATCCAAATCAAAACCTCAGTGAGATATCACCTCACACGAGTCAGAGTGGCTAAAATTAACAAGTCAGGAAACGACAGATGTTGGCAGGGATGCGGAGAAAGGGGAACCCTCCTACACTGTTGGTGGGAATGCAAGCTGGTGCAACCTCTCTGGAAAACAGTATGGAGGTTCCTCAAACAGTTGAAAATAGAGCTACCGTATGATCCAGCAATTGCACTACTGGGTATTTACCCCAAAGATACAAATGTAGGGACCTGAAGGGGTACGTGCACCCCAATGTTTATAGCAGCAATGTCCACCTTAGCCAAACTGTGTTAAGAGCCAAGATGTCCATCGACAGAGGAATGGATAAAGAAGATGTGTATATATACGCAATGGAATATTATGCAGCCATCAAAAGGAATGAGATCTTGCCATTTGCAACGACGTGGATAGAACTGGAGGTTGTTATGCTGAGTGAAATATGTCAATCAGGGAAAGACATGTATCGTATGACCTCACTGATATGAGGAATTCTTAATCTCAGGAAACAAACAGGGTTACTGGAGTGGTGGGCGGTGGGAGGGATTGGGTGGCTCGGTGATAGGCATTGGGGAGGGTATGTGCTATGGTGAGCACTGTGAATTGTACAAGACTGATGAATCACGGATCTGTACTTCTGAAACAAATAATGCAATATATGTTAAGAATAAAAGAAGAAGAAGAAGAAGATAGCAGGAGGGGAAGAATGAAGGGGATTAAGTCAGAGGGGGTGACGAACCATGAGAGACGATGGACTCTGAAAAACAAACTGAGGGTTCTAGAGGGGAGGGGGGTGGGGGGATGGGGGGATGGGTTAGCCTGGTGATGGGTATTAAAGAGGGCACATTCTGCGTGGAGCGCTGGGTGTTATGCCCAAACAATGAATCATGGAACAGTACATCACAAACTAATGATGTAATGTATGGTGATTAACATAACAATAAAAATTATTTTTTAAAAAAAGGGAATGAAATCTCAAATCATTACCACTGCTATGATGAGCAGGACAAAGTTGGGATTCTTCCCAGTTTTTTTGACAGTGGGCATTAATTGGGTAGTCTTCCTAGAGTGTCCTGCTCCTTCTTTTGAAACCCACGCCCTGTCCACATGGCTACACTATCATCTTGGGCACAGTTGCCTAATCCAGGGGTAGGCACCTGACCCATGCTAGACCCTTCTACAGGATTTTTGGACTGGGACTTAGGGAGTTTCCAGCTTCTTTCCTGTTGGTCTGCAGTGGGAGGCAACAAAATTATAGGTGATAAAGATGGATGATGGAGGGGGAAACCAGAATATGTTCCAGTAGTTTCTGAAGGTTCGTTCAACTTCTTGTTTGTATTCCATGAGCTACTACATCCCCCATCCTTTCTCTGAGATAGTTCAGTTTGAAATTTTTTTTTTTTTTTTGGTCACTTGCAACCAAGTGTACCCTGACAGGCATAAATTATATTTGTTTGGATGCCATAAAGTGAAAGACTCTAAAATGTAGGATTGGCTTATGTGAGGAAAAGGTGAGGAGCATGGAGGCCCTCAATCCAGAGCTGGGAAGTTAGCCATCCTTGTTTAGAGGTTGGTTTAATGGGAGCGCCTGGGTGGCGCAGTCAGCTGAGCATCTGACTCTTGGTTTCGGCTCAGGTCGTGATCTCAGGGTTGTGAGATAGAGCCCTGTGTTGGGCTCCCTGCTCAGTGCGGAGTCTGCTTGAGTTTCTCTCTCTCCCTCTCTCCCTGCCCCTCCCCACCTCATGCTCTCTCTCTCTCTCCCCCTCTCAAATCAATAAGTAAATCTTTAAAAAAATTTATAGAATTTGGTTTAACTGTTATGTTATTTTTTAGAACTCCAGATATATACCTACTGAGGTTTTCTAGAATACTTTATTTTTTTTTAATTTTTTAAAGATTTCATTTATTTACTTGACAGAGAGAGAGCACAAGCAGGGAGAACAGCAGAGAGAGAGGGAGAAGCAGGCTCTCAGCCGAGCAGGGAGCCCAGTACAGGGATCATGGGATCATGACCCGAGCCGAAGGCAGACGCTTAACCGACTAAGCCACACAGGCAGCCTTCTAGAACACTTTAGAATGTGGTAGTAAAATGTGAGGATATCAGGGTCTATAGAATACATCCGGCTGCTTAAGGTGCCCAAAGAGGCACCCAGGGTTTAATCCTAGCCCGTCCCTCTGGAAGCTGAGAGGAAAGCATTTATAGCTTTGGAAAACAAAGCCCTTTCTACTAGAGATCCAAAACTGTGACCAAAAAGGATTCTGGCTTTTATTCCCGTGGAGTGGAGAATACAAACATCAATTTAAGAAGCAGCTGAGTATGTCTGAAAAGATCTGTGTTCCTTGAAAACCCACAAGCCCGAGGGGAAGGGGATCCCCCTGTAGGACAACCCCCCAGGCCCAAGTAACGGAACCACAGTTCAGAGGGATGGTATGAAAAGGAATTAATTCATGTAGAATGGTTAGACCAGGGACTGGCCACAGCACAGCAGCAGTAAACATTTAAGTGCCATTACGATTGTCCGTTGTTACTTATCTTTTTAGTCTCAACCCAGGAAGATCTGGAATATTCTCTGTCAGTGAATCACAAATGCTTAGTTTTGCCTTTCTCCTGTTCTAAAATTAGCCCAAGGGAAGCTGGGTGGCTCTGTCAGTTGAGCGTCCAACTCTTGACTTCGGCTCAGGTCATGATCTGAGGGTTGTGCGATCGAGCCCTGTGTGGGGTTCTGTGGTGAGTGCAGAGTCTGCTTGAGATTCTCTCTCCCTCTCCCGCTGCATCTCCCCCTGCACACGCGTGCCCGTGGCTCTCCCTCTCCCTCTAATAAATAAATAAAATCTTAAAATTAGCTAACAAAGCTCTACGTTCCCTAGGGCAGGACCAGCACAGTGAAGCAATGTAGTCTCGGGACTCCGCAGAACCCAGGTCAGCGGCTACACCGTGTGATCAAGACCAAAGTCACATGGTCAAGGTGGGCTTAGGTTTCTAGGCCCTCTTGCCCTGCCTGGCATTTGGAAGGAGACTGAGTCCTCTGTGACTAAGTCCCCAGGCTCCTGAACAACTCCGGTGGGTTGGAGGTGGCTTTCACAGGGTGCATGCTGGAATTCCAGCTAAGAAGGGCTTGAGGCATCTCAAGGAAATATTTGTACAAATTCAGAAGTATCAGCTGGTGGTGAGCTGTGTCAAGAGCACTAACATAAACCATCGCAAAAATGTAAATGTTTTTAATGGTTTATTAACTGTCCCTATGACCAAAGGATTATGGCCAAATTCCTCATGCTTCCCTCTTCTGTAACCATTAGTAACCACACTGTTAGTAAGGAAACAAGGAAACAAGATGTTAGTATTCCAATGCCCCCAGAACTTGATTCCAGGCCTGTGACATTTAAAGCCCATGCTATTAGCCTAGATCTTATACTGTGTCCCAAACTCTCTCCTACCTGAGATTTGCTTGGTAGGGGGGAAGGAGATTTGCCAATGATGGTCTCGCCTTAAAGGGGCATGCGTATTGTGCCCACCACTGCCCGGGTATAGAGGAACTCTGGCCCATGGGGGGAACTGGGCTCTGTTCTTGGCACGGTCACCTGCATAAATTCCGTTGCCCTACTCCGTGATGGTTACTTTAAACTTCCATCAGCCCTGGGGTGCCTGTGTGGTTCCATTGGTTAAGTGTCTGCCTTCGGCTCAGATCATGATCCCAGGGTCCTGGAATCGAGCCCCGCATTGGGCTCCCTGCTCAATGGGAGCCTGCTTCTCCCTCTGCCTCTGCCTCTCCCCCTGCTCGTGCTCTCTCTCTCTCTCAAAGGAATAAATAAAATCTTTTTAAAAAGTAAATAAACTGCATTCCCACCTTCTTAACCCCTCTTTCCCTACCCTGCTTTAAAAAAAATTGCATTTATCACTTTTAAATATTCCATATAATTTACTTATTGTCTGTCTACCCCCCACTAGAAGAAAGTGAGCTCCAGGAGAGAAGAGAGCCCTGTCTGATGTGTGTACTCATGATTTCCAAGTGTCTAGTACACAGAGGGCATCCAGTGAATATTTGTTGAGTAAATGATAACCCGAAATCAATTTTAAACTCCATTTAAAATGTATCATCTCAGGCACCTGGATGGCTCAGTCGTTAAGTGTCTGCCTTTAGCTCAGGTCATAATCTCAGGGTCCTGGGATCGAGCCCCGCATCGGGCTCTGTGCTGAGCAGTCTGCTTGAGATTGTCTCCCTCTGCCCCTCGCCCTGCTCTGTCTCTCTCTCAAAATAATTAAGTCAATCTTTAAAAACAAACAAAAAACAGTTCCCCTTTGCAAATATTAGTAGCCCTGGATTTGCCATTACATGAGCAAGCTCAAGAAGTAAAATAATGTAGAGCAGTAGGAAAGAAGGCGTAGTCGAGCTTGCGGGGGCGGGCAGGGGTGGGGGAAGCAAACAAGAGAAGAGATGGAGGAAACCAGCCCAGTCTCCAGCCCCTCAAGCAAAGAAGCGTCCTGGAGGTGCTTCCTCATCAGCTGCCCTGTACCTGATCTGTGCACCAGTACCAGAGGGACGGAATGGACATTCCAAGTAGGGTCCCGGGCCAAGGGAGATCGGAAGTCAGGGGGTCTCGGAAAATATGGAAGGCATCTTTTCGGGGCAGCCCGCAGCTATTGTTCTCACTCCGGTTGCTCGCCACCGCCAAGAAGTACTTCTCCTTCAGGCCTTCCATCCCACCAACTGCAGCAAAACCTAAAACGCAGAGGAAGCCCAAATTTGTCAGAAACTCAAAGCAATCCATGGCGAGTGGTCAGGGGATGGCTGGGTGGGTGACATCCTACTTGGAGCAGCGCTAACAAGGAAAGTTAGTCACCTTAAAGGTTCTCAGCCTTGTTTTTATGCCTTTGGTGGTGATTGTGTATTGCTTCTCAGAATATTAATAACAATGCATAATACAAAATACATAGGATTATAAAGGAAACCGGATATAGTGACAGCAATTGTCAAAACACAGAAACTGTGGCTTAGTAGTTATTTTCTCCATTGAACAGTAAGACCTAGCAGTAGGTCTAATAACTATTTATTTATTTTTAAGTACTCTCTATGCCCAACATGGGGCTCGAACTCACAACCCTGAGATCAAGTGTCACACACTCCACCAACTGAGCCAGCCAGGCTCCCCTGTAATAACAATTTGGTTTCTTTTCTCTTTTTTAAAGATTTTTATGTATCTGACACAGAGAGAGAGAAGAGGTAGTGAGAGAGAGCACAAGCAGGGTGAGCAGCAGGCAGAGGGAGAGGGAGAAGTAGGCTCCCCCATGAGCAAGGAGCCCGATGCGGGGCTGGAGCCTGATGCGGGGCTGGATCCCAGGACCCTGGGATCACAACCTGAGCAAAAGGCAGACACTTAACCGACTGAGCCACCCAAGCAACCCTTAAGATTTTTTTAAAGTAATGTCCACACCCAGTGTGGGGCTTGAACTCACAACCCCAAGATCAAGAGTCTCGTGCTCTTCCAACTGAGCCACCCAGGTGCCCCAAAAGACTTTTTTTTTTTTTAAGGCTTTTTTTCTTCTTTTTAATCACTCTAAAAGATAATCTACTGTGTAAAGCAAAACTTGTAGCAGGGTATCGGGGTTTAGGGCATGTGTAAATGTATGATAACAATAACACAGAAGACGGGAGGGAGCATTTGGGAGTGGAATATTGTAAGCTTCTTAAACGATACATGATGCAGTAGGATAATATTAGAAGTAAGACTGAGATGGACATTGTAGACTTTAGGGCCAACACCAAAATAATTTTTTAAAAGAAGAAAAATGGAGCCAGAGGACACTTGGAACAAATGGACAACAGCTGACAGGATTGCAGATTTTAATCCATCCCTATCAATCAGTACATAAATGTAATTGACCCACAGATGCAAATGACAAGATAGAAATCGTCAGATTGGATAAAAAGTAAGACCCAACTATATGATGTCGACCAGAAACCCACTTAAAATATAAAGAATAGGAAATATATGTATGTTTGTATAAACACATATCTATGTTTATAAAGACATAGATAGGTTCAAAGTAAAATGACAGAGAAGTATATGCCACTTAGGGGCACCTGGGTGGCTCAGTCGCTTAAGAGGCTGACTCTTGATTTCAGCTCAGGTCATGATCTTGGGGTCGTGGGATGGAGCCCCACATGGGGCTTCTCACTCAGCAGGGGGTCTGCTGGAGATTCTTTCTTCTTCTGCCCTCCCCTCCCCCTTCCTCTAAAATAAATCTTAAAAAAACACAAAACAAAACAGTAAGTTTCCATAAGCCCAGTTCTCTTCCAGCTAAAATAACCATGTCTCAAGCAAATCACCCGTGACTGGAATGCCCCCGTGGTATGCTTTGACCCTGGGCTTGCTGATCACAGTGATGAAAGCAGATGTCACTGAGAGAGGGGTTGTCATCCACCCAAGTGGCCCTGGGGCCCCACTTACTGTAGCCCATCAGGATGAGTGCTCCTATAAGCATGATCAGAGTCTGCAGGGCATCCGTGTAGATCACAGCAGCCAGGCCACCTGGGGGTAGGGGTGGGCATAAGCACCGAGGTGAGGGTCGGGTACCATGGTGGAGAGGAGTTACCCTGGGGAGCAGACAGAACCTGCAAGTTCAACCTGCCTGGGGAGATTTCTTAGTGTTGTTTGCAAAGATGGCCAAAGTACCGCCTTCCTGAGCACATGCCCATATTGCACTGTGGTTTTGCTGCTCCTTCCATGTTGAGGTGAAGCTGATTTCTCTACCTCTTAACGAGGAGCTTGGCCAGATGGCTTGCTTTGACCAGCAGAACATGGTGGGAGTGATACTGTGCAGCTCGAAGCCTAAGCCTCAAGGGCCCGGAAGCTTCTGCTCTTGCTCTCGTGTTGTCCTGAGACCACCGTGCTTCTTTAAATAGCCCACGCTTGCCTCCCAGAGGGTGATGGCTCACACGGGGTGGGGGGAAGCTCAGCTGAGAGCCCATGCCAACCACCAGCCGCCCAAGTGAGTGAGTCCACCTTGCCCCAGACAGCCGTTCCAGATGTCATCAACCTCCTGTTCTTGACGGAGCCCAGTGAGACCAGCTGATCATAGTCATATAATTAATGGCAGCAAGTCTGTCGACATCTGGACAGGGCGATCTTTCCAGTCTCTTCTCTGTACCATACCTCCCTCTTCCTTCTTCCCAAAGGGGAAAGAGATGCTTCTCTGATATGAGCACGTTTACTAGTGGGCAAAGTCAGTATGCAATACAAAACATGCACAGAGGGGCACCTGGGTGGTTCAGTCGGTTAAGCACCTGCCTTCAGCTCAGGTCATGATCCCAGGGTCCTGGGATCGAGTCCTGCATCAGGCTCCCTGCTCCCTCTGCCTGCTACTCTCCCTGCCTTATGCTGACAATAAATAAATAAAATCTTAAAAAAAAACAAAAAACGCTGCACAGAGCTGTGGTGTTCTACTCTGATTCTGCCTCCTTGCCAGTGGGAACAGGGCTCCGTCACAAATGTGGAGAGAGACCCGGGGTCTGTTGTGGCCCCAGCCCGCTACTGCAATTAGCCGGCCTGAGCGTGGTGAGATCCCACCACTAAAAGCCAGCATTATTTCTATACTGACGATTATGAGCATTTATCATGCGCCACGCACTGGGTTCAGTGTTTTATTCAATTGTTCACCGAATCTCTGGGGAGCGCCCCGCCAAGCTCTATGTGGTAGGGAAAGAGAGGCAAACAAAACAGCATGTCCCCGGTCCTCAGAGAGATCAGTGTAATGGGGACACAGACCCCCAAACAAGGAAACACAAAGATAAACCGGCTATTGCCGCTAGCCCTTCTGTTTCCCTGGGCTCCAGGCACAGGGCTTCCATGAGTGCTGACCCCCCTGAGATCCTTCGGGGGGCCTTTGCATATGTTCAATTTAGTTGCTTTTCCGCTTAGAGCCTCCAGTGGAGATCCACGGCACTTAGAACAAAATCCAGGCACATTTTGTCCCCTGCGAGGCGCTGGTGGCTGGTCTTTCTCCCTCATTAGGGCTGCTCTACCACACAGTGCCAGGCGTGCATCCCTCTCTGGCTTGTGGGAACGGCCCCTGGAGCTGAGCGGGACGCGGCCCGAACAACCATTTGCTCGCTCAGCGTCAGCCACAGTGACCGCCCTTTTGTTTCCCAAATCAGCATGTTCTCATCCTAAGAGTCTTTACTTACATATGCCCTCTGCCTGGACTTCCCTTCCCCTGCACTTCTCTTTAGAGCTGCCTTCATATCATTTAAATGTGGTTCAAGCATCACTTTACAAAGGCCTTCCCCGGACATTCTATGTGGAAAAAAAAACTCCCTTATCCCATCACTCCCCGTCTTGCCCTGCTTAAACTTCCTTCGGAACACTTATCAGATTATACTAATATATCCTGATATACCATGATATACCAAGAAATATCTTCGTTTCCTTGTTCGTTGTCTGTCTCCCCATTAGAATATAAAGTCCCTTCGGGTAAAGGTTTTGTCTGTTTTGTTTACTGCTCTGCCCCATTCCTAGCATGATGTCTCGCACATACTAGGTAATATACAGATATATTTGCAGAAGGGATTATATTACACCAAAAGGAGACAGACAAGGGTGAAGCTGGAGCAGAATGAAAATAAAAAGGCAAGTATTCCAAACCAGATACTTGTCCGGGTCCTACTATAGGCCAGTCTCTCTCCTACAATGCAGCTCTGATGGGGAAAGAGGAGGCTGCCCGACCTCAGCTCCAGAATTAGAGCCGCTTACCATCTAGCTTTACAGAGTGCACGTGAATAAATATGCACTGATAGTTCTTCAATAAACAAATGGAAAATAGCTTGATGCAGTTGTGGTGCATTTTTAAATCCTCCTTCTAACTGGGAAACCTTCTTCCTTTGGACAATGGCTAAGAGAAATCACCTTGTCTGGGGTTGTGGAGTGAGATGTAATAAATGAATGGTTTTAACACATGGGAACATCAGAACATGGGCCAGGAAAAGATCGGTGGGGCGGTGGGCCACAGTCTCTCAGGCATCACCCCTTGTTCAGACACACCTGCAACAGTGTACAGAGCCGTGATGGCCAACAGCCCAACGATGGCCAGGTAGAGATCGAGGTGCAGGGACTGCTGGATAAAGATGGCGCCTGCATACATGTCCACCTGGGGAGACAGGAAGTTGCCAGATGAATGAAAGGAGGGACATTTTCAGCACAGGCTCTGCTAGGCCTGGATTCTGGCAAACATGGAAGAGTTCTCTACTCCCCTTTCTTCAGCCACCTCTTCCCAGATCAGGGTTCTCCAGTTGCAGCCCTGTGGGCAGTTACATGTGACACCCACTCACTGGGCTAATACAACAACCTCCTCAGTGGTCTTGCTTCTCCTCTTGGGCTTCCACCTTCCACCCTCAACACTGCAACCTTTATCAAATACTGTCATGATCAAACATCCTTCTCCTGCTCATTAAAATTCTTCAGTGCCCCCCCATGGCCCCCATGATAATGTCTACATAAATACATTAGAATTGCATGCCAAGCTTCACAGTCTGCTCGCCCCTTGGCCTCATTTCCTTCACTCCCTTCACACTCCCTGCTTCCCTAACAAGCCCTGCCCGTCCATCTGGAATGCCAGTCCCCCTCTCCCCAGTTGGTAATCATCCTCGGTCATAACTTCCCCTGCGAAAGCTTCCCCACATCTATAGCTTCCCACCAGACTGAGAGGCAGAGTTCTGAAAGGATGCTGTCATCGAACGTCTGTCTTTCAAGCCTGCAGCTGGTGTAGAGTCCATTATTGTTGTTTGGATTGAATGCAATTTCTCTGCACCACCCCCACTTGGGGCAAGCTCTCCCCAGCCCCAGCTGGAAGCGGAGACAGCATCAGCGTTGAGTCAGGCTGGCTGAGCACACGTGCCTGGAGGCTGCAGTGCATCTGCTCTTGGCCTCTTTCTGGAGATCTGCCCATCCAACCAAAGGCCAGGATGGGGCAGGCCCAATGGGCCTCAGCACACCTGATGAATACCTGATGACGGCCTGATCCCAGGAGGAAAAGAACAAGCCCCCCACCAAGGCCTGGCAGGGCTCTCAAAGAGTCCCGTTCTGAGACCTGCACCACCCTGACATGTTGCCAAAGCGGGAGTGGAAAGAGGTGTCCTTCCCTCTACCTTTTCTCCCAACTTCCTCCCCATGCTTACCCTCTTCCCCACCCCTCCCATCTACCAAGCTCCCTGAAGCCTGCCCAAGGGTAGGAAATGCATGCGCAGGACACACGACTAATGGCTGTAATCGATCTTCTCACCAGGCTGTAGGGACATGGCCAGGCTGCGTCCCCACCTTACCGAGATCTTGGTGAAGATGTAAATGAACAGGTAGAGCACAGCCAGGATGACAGGGATCCTGTTGCCACCGAAGCGCTTCCTTAGGTATTCTGGCATCGTGGTGACCTGGGGGCCAGAGCTGAGCGGTCACCACCCACCCAATTTGGGGCAGATGGCCTCAGGGCACTGGCCCTTCCCCTCCCCTCCCCATGTCCTCTCCAAACTCAGCAGCACTGATGGTCTTCTTAATCATAGACTTAAGAAGGGAGGAGAAAATGGGGGCAGGGGGTGGCTCAGTGGGTTAAACATCTGCCTTCGGCTCAGGTCATGATCCCAGCATCCTGGGATCGAGTCTTGAGTCGGGCTCCCTGCTCCAAGGTGACCCTGCTTCTCCTTCTGCCCTTCCCCCTGCTTGTGCTCGCTCTCTCTCTCAAATGAATAAAATCTTAAAAAAAAAAAAAAAGAAGGAAGGAGGAAATGGGCAGAGGAGTGGGGTGTGGAGGAATTGGGGTTCTGTGCAGGGGGATATACCCATCTATCACTGTGTGAGGCACTGAAAAAAAATGTTTCTGAAACATGAAACATCTGAAAGCCTGTGCCCATCTTCATCATGGGTCAGGAGGTGGGAGGTGCTGAGGACAGGGCTCCCCGGTATCGCCTGTGCAGCATCCTTCACCATGCAGGGAGCTCCCAGGGACTGGCTAACGGATGTCCTCAGGTGGGAGGGAGGGAACTCGAGGGTGACCCTCCCCAAGGGTCTCCGCATCCCAGAGCACCCCAACTCACCTGCCCAGCTATGTAGATGGGGAGGAAGATCCAGGCCAACATCAACACAGAGAACAGGCCCTGCCCGAGAAAACAGATTCAGGACTCAGCTCCCACCTACATCGAGGTGCTGATTTGGATTTCCCTCCGCACTTGGAGGTCACCTGGCCTGGCTCAGTCTTGGGTTCAGTACCTCATCCTCCCCGGGCTATCATATTCCCACATTGATAATGGGAGAAGGGGAAGAAGGAGGGAAGCGTGGAAATAGAAGCTTTCCTGTGACTCCTCATTCAATGTCCCCCAAAACCTCACGTCGTCCCCCTTCATCCAGACGTGAGCCAGGATGGGCTCCCTAAGTGAACCCCATCATACAGTAATATGCGTAGTGTACTGCAGTGTGCAGCACAGAATGAGCATTTTAAAAATGTTAGTCACTAAGGGGCCGGCTCAGTGGGTGGAGTGAGTCACTCTCGAGCTCGGGGTAGTGAGTTCGAGCCCCACGCTGGGTGTGGAAACGACTTAAAAATAAATACATAAATAAATAAAGCTTGTTTTTTAAAAAAATTGTTAGTCACTGTGAAGACGAAACTCACTACTAAGAGTACATGCCTGCCCGGTCAATGAACATCATGCCCTGCACGAGCCCTGCTACACAGGACAGTGTGTCCCATCTCTGGGGTATCTGTGGGGTGCCAGAAAGGCTAAGAACCACTGAACCACAGAACTACATTTTTATGATGGCTGACTGGTACCCTTCGGGTCCTTCTATCTTCTGCATCCACAAGGGAGAGCTTCTGAGTCCTCTTCTCCTGCACATTGGTGTTTTAGGGTCCCGGCCTTCTGGTCCCAGGATCAAGCAAACCCAGACAAGCCTGAAGCTTGCAGATCAAACTGATTTTTGCTGACCAGGGGTGCCTTTGGTGCTTGTTTGTTTTCTCACGAAGTACAACTCTATTTTTAAAAAGTACAGGGTAGGGGCGCCTGGGTGGCCTGGTGAGTTGAGCGTCCGATTCTTGGTTTCAGCTCAGGTCATGATCTCAGGGTCAGGGAATTGGCCCCGCCTCGGGCTCTGTCCTCAGCCATGGAGACTGCTTGGGATTCTCTCCCTCCACCCCTTCCACCACTCGTGCTCCCTCTCTTGCTCTCTCTCTCTAAAATAAATAAATAAAATCTTTAACAAAAATAAATAAATGAAAGTATGGGGCATTCACACTGTCCCCCAGGATCTACCTAGTAGGCAAAGGATGAGCTGTACCCGCCCTGGTAAAATACTTACATTTAATTCATAAGCAGTGACAGAAAGGCCTGCAGCAGCGCCTGACCCTGCCAGGCCAACAAAATGTCCACTTCCCACGTTGCTGGCAAACAAGGATGCGCCCACCTGTTAGGAGATGGACAAGTCCGATCTTGGAGCGATGGTCTATGGTACCTTCTCCCCACCCTCAGTTCTTCCCATGCTCCAGAGGGACCAAGACAGAAGGAGAAGTAGAGGAGGCAGGGCCATCCCTAGCCTATCTGGCACCTTTTTTTTCCAAATTAGAAAAAGATTCTTCTTCCCCAAGACTCTTTTACTTCCAACCATCAGAAATTAGCATAATAAACATGTATATTTATGATGGCTAAAATGTGAATTGTGCGCCATAGGGTTGTGCAGTGCACAACATGAACAACTGTATGCAGCACCCCAGGGAAAATGATGACGGGTATTGTGGAAGGTGCTTCATGATGAGAATCAGGAAGCCTGTGTTCTATTCCAGTTCTGCTTCTAATTTAGCATGTAGATAACCCTCCTGGTAGAACACTAAGTGGCCAAGCTTATATTCAGTGATCCCAATCCCTGGTCTCAACTGATTGGACCAGACAGCCCTGGGCACCTGGCCCAAGCTGGATCAATTACATTTTCTCTCCTGCAAATCTGGAACTGGGACACAATCTCTGTTACTAAATCCTAGCTAGTTTCGATCACTGAGGCCGGCATTCTCTTGGCTAAACATAGAGATTAGCCAGTGATGGAAGGTTGATAAAGATATATTAGTACTAAAGTGTGAATTTTTATTTTATGTAATCAGGAGGATTGACAGAGACTGGCACAGAGGTGGGCATGGGACACAATCAGAGAGAAAATATTTTCCGGGGATACTGCCATGGAGGCAGGTGCTCTTCCCATACGGGACTGAACTTAAGAAGATGAAAAGTCCGGAGCAGTGTCTGCCATCTTGTTGCCATGAAGTTGGCCCTGTTTGGGAATAGTGTCTATCCAGAAGAAGAAAAGTTGATATGGACAGATGGAAGGAAGGAAAGAAGGAAAGAAGGGATGAGGGGAGGGAGGGAAAACAGGTCCTAGTGACATCACTTGAGCCCTTGCCCTCAGCCATCCCTAAAACCAGCCTAACTAGATTTTTCCCTTGGGTGAGCTGATGAATCTTTTTTGTTCAACACATTTGCATTGGAGCTAAGCCTTCTCTAGACTGTGACTTTCACACTACATACAACCGGAGTCCTGCGAGACCCAAGGCTAAACAGAACATCAGCCCTCGAAGAATCTTTGAGAAGTGACTTTAATTGAATCAAAGATCACTTACTGGCCACCACACCATGTCCCCTCCAGCTAGGAAGTAGCCTTTCACTGTGTCTCTCTTGGTCTTCACTGTGGACTGAAACAAAGAAGAGGGCATGTAACAATCAGAGGCATCCCAGAGCTCCTGAGCCATAGATTACCAAACACTAGAGTCAGCAGGCCAGATCTGGACATCAAATATAGTTTAGGGTTTTTTGTTTTGTTTTGTTTTTTAAACCCATGGTTTAAGAGGATTTTAATTTGAATGCTTTAGAGGACAAATTCTTCAGGTCAATACAACTCCTGCCACTCCCCGCTTCGCAAATGTACGGCTCACCTACGTATTTGAGTTTTCAACCCAGGGCTTATGTAGGAGAGCTCATGATGGGCACCATTTCCTGAGTACTAGTGCAGCATAGCATCAGAGTAACAGAGCTGGTAGACACCATGCTAAGCTTCTAGAGCTCATCTCATGTTATTCCCTACCAACCTCTATGAAGTTGGTGTCATTAGACCACAACCTAACAGATGAAGACCCTGAGGCTCGGAAGCAAAGTTACTTATCTTGTGCCATATTTCTAGAGAGCAGAAAGGCCGGGAATTCAGACCCAGGTCTCAATGATTACAGACTCCTACATCCTTCAGTCTGACAACCTCATATGTTGTAGGAATTTATCCTACATTATAGTTGCACACATCCAAAACAATGAGTGTATAAGATTTGTTGATTTGTTGACTGCAACATAGTTTGTGACAGTAAGAGACAGGAAGCAATCCAAATGACCCTCAGAAGAAAACAGGCTAAATAAATCACGGTACGATCATCTCATGGAATCCTGTGCAACTTTTAAGGCGAGGAAGCATCTATGTACTGATATGAAAAAATAGCCAAGAGACTATGATAGGTGAAAAATAACAAGGTGAAGAAACAACATGTAGGGCACCTGGGTGGCTCAGTCGTTAAACATCTGCCTTCGGCTCAGGTCATGATCCCAGGGTCCTGGGATCGAGCCCCACATCGGGCTCCCGGCTCTGCAGGAAGCCTGGTTCTCCCTCTCCCCCTCCCTCTGCTTGTGTTCCCTCTCTCGCTGTGTCTCCTTCTGTCAGATAATAAAATCTTTTTAAAAAATGTGTAGAATAAGCAATTTCCCATTTAAGAAAGAGGTAAATACACACAATAATATTTGCTTGGATTTCCATAAGGAAACTCAAACTAACGTGCGAACAAGTTAACAACAGTAGTTACCTGTGAAGGGAAGTGTAGTAGTGAGACTTTTCACTGTATGTCATTTTAAGTTGCTTTTATTTTTGAACCATGAGGCTGTATTGCCTTTAAAAAAAACAAAACAAAACAAAACAAAAAACAAACCTTCCTTTAAAAAAGAAAAGAGAACATGACTTTCAAAGTGAAGGAAATATTGGCTTCTAACTCCAGCTCTGTTAACTAACATACAAGGAGCTTACATTTTTTTTTAAAGATTTTTTTGTCTACTTGACAGAGAGAGACACAGCGAGAGAGGGAACACAAGCAGGGGGAGTGGGAGAGGGAGAAGCAGGCTTCCCACCGAGCAGGGAGCCCAATGTGGGGCTCGATTCCAGGACCCTGGGATCATGACCTGAGCCGAAGGCAGACGCTTAATGACTGAGCCACCCAGGCGCCCCTAGGAGCTTACATTTTTGAGCCTCAGTTTCCTTGCCTATAAAATGGGTACAGTAGTAGTGTCTTCTTCATAGACATCTGTGCAAAGTACATGGGGTAACACAAATTTGCAAGTGCCTAAGACAACACCTGATTTATGATCCACACTCGGTCCGTTTTTACAAGTGTCAAGTTTGGATTACTTGATGACCTTAGGCGAGTTTCTTCCCCCGCCTTCCCTGGCCTGGCTTACCCATAGTCCCACAGCCAGGACAAAGAGGAAGTACAGAACCAGCACGGCAATGTCACCTGGCTCCAGGTTCCTCTGTGGAAAAGCCTCCAGGGGCTCTGACTGGGTGAGCTGAGGGCTGCTGGAGCTGCTCTCCATGGTCCTGAGCAAACGTTCACTCCTGCGGGAAGTGCAAATGTGCATCAGATGCCAGAACCAGAGGCGCTTTTCTCACCCTCTCTGCGGCTGCCTCCTCGGAGCACGCAAACCAGAGGACAGTGCAGGGGGATGTGTAGTGGGGACCCGTCCCCCGGGAAGGCAGAGCCACCCACCCATCTGTCCGTCCATCCGTTCACTCATTCATTCAGCATATACAGTGAAGTCACATCCAATCAACTGCTGATTTTTTAGCAATTCAGTCACTCACTTGGCAAAATATTAAAAAGAATAAACAGCATGAATAGTACAAACGGTTTCCTACTCCAAGAGTGTAAGTAAAGCAAGACACCTGGGTTACTCCCTATTTCTGAGGAACCTCTGAGCTGGGTGAAGGTCAAGCTGACCATTTTGTCCGAGGGTCAGCTAGACACTACTATCTTATTCCAATGCTGGATGGCCCATAAAATTGCACATATTTAGTGATACATATAGTGCCTCCTAAGTGCTGGGCATCATTCTAAGTGTTTACTATTAGTAAGTGCTATTGTCATCATCCCCATTTTACAGATGGTAAAACTGAGGCACAGGGAAGTTAAGTTACTTGCTTAAGGTAATACAGCTCAAGTGGCAGAGCTAGGATTTGAAGGCAAACGATCTTGCTCCAGAATCCATACTTTGAACTACTATCCTAAGCTGTTTCTCAGTATCCTGCATTTGTGTGTAATTTAAGGGATTTCTGTGGTAGGCAGGTAAATGTCCCCCTCAAGGATGTGTCATTTTAATCCCCAGAACCCGTGAATATGTTAGTTACATGGCCGGAGGACAATCAAATTTGCAGATTTTTTCCTGGATTATCTGAATGAGCCCAATGCAACCACAGGGTCCTTAAAAGTGAAAGGGAATCAGAAGAGAGAACCAGAGATGACTGTGTGAGAAAGATTTGGCCGAATGTTGCTGGCTTTGAAGATGGAAAAATAGGGACCACAAACCAAGGAACTCAGGTGGCTTCTAGAAGCTGGAAACACAAATTAATGCGTTCCATCCTAGAGCATCCAAAAAGAATTCAGCTCTGCTGTCACCTTGATGTTAGCCCAGTGAGACCCACTTAGAACTTTTGACTTCCAGAACCGTAAGATAATAACCCTGTGTTGTTTCAAGCTGCTACACTGCTGGTAATTGTTAACTAATAAAACTCCCAAGTGTGATTTTTGACCATAAGTGATTTAAGCATTGACTTATTCCTGTGTTAATGTATGACTCCACTCTGGGGGGTTGAGAATGAAAAGACTCAGTCCCTGACCTCTACGACGGGCAGCCCAGTAATGGGGAAATTCACTCATCAGATAACAACATAAAGATGTTCCATATAGGGGAGGTGCTTAGAGGCAGATGTGTTAAGGATGGGGGCTTAGAAGCCACAGAGCTGGCTCCACCACTGGGCAATCCTGAGAACCAGGACAAATTCTCTAAATGGTCAATAAGAGTGTGTATTGAGAGACCGCGGTGAGCTCATACTTATGAAGGTCTGTGTGCACTGCTTGCACAGTTGTGCCCCATAAATTCTGGCTGCTATTATTATCGTGATTAACAGGATTGTCTACAATATTCAGTGAGTGAGGTAAAGACCACCTCACTATCAATGAAGAGATCCAAACAGTAGCATAAAAGCTGAGTTTTGAAGAATGAGTCGGTGGTTCTAGATGTGAGAGCAGGGATAAGAGAGCATTCCAGGCCAAGACAACAGCATCTACACACTGAGGTGCAAATAAGCATGTCACAGTTAAGAAGCCACCAGATTCTGGGGAGCCTGGGTGGCTCAGTCGGTTGAGCAGCTGACTCTTGATTTCAGCTCCAGTCATGATCTCAGGGTCTTGAGATCAAACCCCACATCAGGCTCCATGCTGGGTGTGGAGCCTGCTTAAGATTCTCTCTCTCCCTCTGCCTCTGCCCACTCTCTCTCTTTCTCTAAAGTAGGTAAGTAGGGTGCCTGGGTGGCTCAGTCATCAAGCATCCACCTTTGGCTCAGGTCATGATCCCAGGGTCCTGGGTTTGAGCCCCCCATCAGGCTCCCTGCTCAGCAGGGGGTCTGCTTCTCCCTCTACCCCTCCTCCCACACATTCTCTCAATCTCTCTCTCAAATAAATAAAATTTTCAAAAAAATTAAACAAGAAACTACAAAAAATTAAAAATTAAGTAAATAAATAATTTTTTAAAAAGTCAATGCTTTAACTCCAAGAGAAATAAAAGGAAATCAATTAATGATAAAATGATGAATACATCAACATGCAATTGCATTCTGTCTCACTCCACGGGCAGACCCTAAGAGGCAGTCAGACACTTGTACCTACGATGCTAAGTTTTGAATTTAAGAGAAATAAAGTCAGAAGCCATTTTATTCCCCAAACTCAGAATAAAAAGTGGATCTGCAAAGGAACACCAGCATAGAAACTGAACAGTCGACCCTTGAACAGCCTCTGACCTCCCCCCCGTGCAGCAGAAAATCCACAGGTAGCTACTGACTCCCCCAAATTTCACTACAAATAGGCTACTGTTGACCAGAAGCCTTACCAATAATAGTTGATTAACACATATTTTGTATGTTATATGTACTATATACTGTATTCTTACAATAAAGGTAGAGAAGATAAAATATAAAAAAATATGAGAAAATACATTTATAGTACTGCACTGTATTTATAAAAAAAAAAATCTATGTGTCAGTGGACCTGTGTAGTTCAAACCCATGTTGTTCAAGGGTCAAGTGTATATACACCAAAATGCTTGCATTTGTGAGCATACTTTGTGATTTCATTATTTTTTAAGGAGGCTCCATGCCCAGTGGGGGGCTTGAACCCATGACCCTGAGATCAAGAGTCAGATGCTCTACTGACTGAGCCAGCCAGGCTCCCCCAAAGTCCAGACCGCCTGGGTGGCTCAGTCGGTTAAGCGTCTGCCTTCAGCTCAGGTCATGATCCCGGGGTCCTGGGGTCGGGGTCCGCATCGGGCTCCCTGCTCGGTGGGAAGCCTGCTTCTCCCTCTTCCACGCCCCCTCCCTCTGTCCCTCCCCACTCGTGCGCTCTCTCTCAAATAAATAAATCTAAAGGAAAAAAAAAAGGGCACCTGGGTGGCTCAGATGGTTAAGCATCTACCTTCAGCTCAGGTCATGATCCCAGGGTCCTGCAATCGAGTCCCACATCTGGCTCCTTGCTCAGCGGGAAGCCTGCTTCTCCCTCTCCCACTCCCCCTGCTTGTGTTCCCTCTCTCGCTGTCTCTCTCTCTCTGTCAAATAAATAAATAAAATCTTTTTAAAAAAAGGTCCAAGCAATTGCCATGATATGCCATCTTTTTAAGACCAAGCACTCTGAAAAATATCTGAGACAATGCTGTCGAGATAAAAGCGGGCACATTCACTGCTTTAAAATTTTTTTTTAAAAAAGCCAACATTTTGTGTTTCACGTAAACTGGAGGTAGGTTTTAGTCTCAGTTATAAGCATGTTGTTCACCCACATGAAGGTCTGGTAGAATATCTGAAAGTTCATATTGCATGGGGCAGTTCTGTGTATTTCGGGGAGTCTAGCATCTCTGGCCTCCATGGTACCCCCAAATCATGGTCACAACTGAAAATGCTCCCATACATGTTCAGTGCATCTCCCAATGGGCAGCAATGCATCCGCTGTATGCCCTTGCTCTAGGTTAAGGGACAAGTGAATAGTGTGATCAGACAGGGGTGGGGGAAGCTTAAGTAGAAGAAGGGAGGCAGGAAGGTCACAGTGTAATGACTCAGACTTGAGATGAAGTAGAGAGGGGGGCACAGAGGATTTGAGAAGTAATTTGGGGTTAAAATCAGTAAGGCTTGGTGATTAGTCAACAGGGTAATGCTTCTTTCGTGCTTCTGATCAGAGCCTCCCACAGACAGAACTACCTGATTACTTGAGCAGGATGTTCTTTGTTCCTAGAGTAAATTCGCTCAACTTCAAAACTATTGACATTTTGGGCTGGATCATTCTGTTATGGGGTGGGAAGGTTATCCTGTGCACTGTAGGATGTTTAACAACCTCCTGCTACGAGATGTCTTACTGCCCTAAACAAGGCAGCTGGATGTTCATTTAGACAAGATGCCTCAGGGGGGCGCTCCAGGATCTTGAGTTCCCTTCCCACGCTCTGGACTTCTCCCTGGGGCTGCACCTTGCTTTGTATTGTTGCAGGGGAGCTCATGGCTGCTCAGACCTCGGACGTGGTGGCCCTCTCCCGGGGAGGGAGGACCCAAGCAAGCAGGGATCCACTGCACTGATGGAAAGGAAAGATGACAGAGTGGGAGAGGGAGGGAGAGAGGGGATACAGCCGCTACTGGGCTCGTCCAGCTCAGACACTTACTGTGCCCTAATGCGGGAGGAAGGAAGTAGCAGAAGCCGGGATTCCCCTCACCCCTCAGTCTAGATTTCATGATCATTGCCATCTATGAAATGGGGTAATAACCTGCTCCGGACGAACCCAACTGGACCAGATACTTGCAAAGCCTTTGTGCGAGGAAGTGGGAAGGAGGCTGCAGTTTCTAGGGTGGGAACAGAGGCCCATAAAGGAAAGGGGTGCCTGGGTGGCTCAGTCAGTTGAGCATCCTGCTCTTGGTTTGGGCTCAGATCATGATTTCGGGGTCAAGAGATCAAGCCCGAGACAGGCTCCGTACTCTGTGCAGAGTCTGCTTGAGACTCTCTCTCTCTCTCTTCCCCCCGCCCCCGCTCTCTCTCTCGCCTTCTGCCCCTTCCCCCACTCACACTCTCTAAAATTAAATCTTAAAAAATAATAACAAAGGAGGGAAAGGCACATTCTGGAGGCTCGAGGAGATGGTCTGTCACGTTATCTCAGGAATGAAATCCCTATTAGGTACTGTTACGGCACATTACAGGCGAGGTGAGAGCTTGTGGCTCTGGGAGGTTTGGCATCATGTCCAAAGCCAGGGCTCGAACCTACATCTGTATGGTTTCACAGCCTGTTTTTAAACA